TAGCAACAACCTCTAGAAAGAATCTTCCCAGATTGAAACCCCAGCCCCCAAGTAATGCCAGCCACAACATTGTGAATTCCTCAGGGAGGTGCCAGTCTCATCCTTTTCTCTCTCCCTTGCGCCTCAGGAGATGAAAGAAAATGTTTTTCTTCCTGAGTCTGGCCTTCATAATTCCATTCCATCACACTATTTTATCCTTTGATATAATGTAATTGCTTAGTTAATATTTCACTAGTGGAATTTCCTTTCTCATTTTACCAAACTGAAATGGTTTACTCTTTGATGAATTTGAACAACCCTTCCCTGCTTCTAATCGACAACTTTGAAAATCTGACATAATTAAACTTATAATTTAATTGTTTTATCAAATATACAATATCAGATGAAGAATTGAAAGGTTTTAAGATTCAATAATACAGATAGTCCTCAACTTACAACAGCAATTGGGATTGGAATTTTCATCACTAAGCGATCGTAAAGCACAACCGCATTGCTTAGTGACCGCAATTCCTGCAGTCCCGGTTACCGTCATTAACCAAATCTCAGTCATTAGGCAAGGCAACTTCCTGCTGGCTTCCCACAGCCAAGTCAGTGGAGAAGCCAGCAGGAAGTTGTAAGTCCCAGGCAGTCTGCAAGCAGGCCAGCAGGCAGGCAAGTGAATGCCACTGGGTGAGTGAGGGCATGAGTGGATGTGCAAAGGTGTGAGGGAGGCACGGTGAGGGCTGGGGAGGGTGGCACAGTGAGGGTTGGGGAGGGTGTGGGAGGGAGGCACGGCAAGGCTCAGGGACAGTGCCTAGGGGCGTGAGGGAGGCAGGGCAAGGCTTGGGGAGGTGTGCAGGGTGCATAAGTGGTGGGGGAGGTTAAGGGAGGGTGGACGGTGGTGCATGTATGGTCAGTACAAGTGCAGAGGAGCTGGGGAAGGGTGTGCAGGTGGGGGAGACTCAACCCAGTGATCTTCCCTGCCAGCTCCCCCATTAACTTTCTGGGAAAGCCAGCAGGGAAGGTTGAAAATAGCAATCACTTGACTGCAGGGCACTGCAACAGGTCATAAGTGTGAACTGGTTGCCAAGTATCCAGATCATCATGGTCACGTGACCGCGGAATGCTGGGATAGCTGGAACAACATGGACCAGTCATAACCACCATTCCGTTGTAACTTTGAACAGTTGCTGAACAAATGGTCGTAAGTTGAGGATTACTTGTAAGATATTTTAAGTTCATTATGTATTATTCAAAATGTATTTCTGTATCTGAGAAGGCTGGTTAATTCTGGTTCCAAGAGTACAAGTTCTGCATAGCCAGTCAAAGTTAATCTCCTGTAAATATCACATTTATCCCTGATACTTGATAAAAAACTTTCTCCCAAAAAGTCAAAATATTGTTATGGGAAATCCCTTTCAAATTCCTAAGGCAGAATTCAATAGAATACTTATACTAACAGGGTAATTTTCTCTCTCCACTGAAGCCCTTAACACACACTCAAAATCTATTCCAGAGGTAGTTCTCAGGACTCTGCAAAGAAAATCTTAGAATTAACAGGAGCCAACGGACTATGAGAATAGTTGAGTCACACTGTGTAAGCAAACTCCAATAAGAATTAATGGTTTCTGTCCCAAATGTCAGTGCATACATCCTTATGTGACCACAGTACTAAGACAAATGGGACTTACTAGGCATGCACTGTATTGTGCTGCAAATCTAAATATATAAAAGCAACTTTAAATATATATATTTAATATTTATATATATGTGTGTGTGTGCGTGTGTGTGTGTGTGTGTCTAAGTTCTTTGTCTTGTATTTGCCTGATGTACTTGCAGTACTTGTAAAATATATGTAACTTTCTTGATTGATGGTCTACAAAAATTATTCATAATAATAAAATGCTCTTAATGTCTAAGGCATAGTTATATTGAAGTAGTACACAACATTATTACATTGAAAAGAAAGTAACATAGCTAAGAATGATATATATTGCCATAAGCAGTTTGATAGCCATTACATAAACAATACATCAATAGTCCTATACTGAGGTGTAATTCTATTTGAAAAAAAAAATGGCAATCTAAAATGAGGAATATAGTGTAGCAACCTTGAAAACAACATGACAAACAGTATTATTTATAACAGAAAGAAAGATCCTCATTTTTCTGTAGAGAAACTACACATCCAAAGACATGTTTCTCACAAGGTTCTCAGGTAGTAGCTGATAATTCTAAAGTACATTTTATACAATCACACTGTTTGCTCCTACCTGTCAATCTTGATAGTTCAATCCTGTTAAGTATGTTCATTGTATCTGTTGGTTCAAATAATGAGAAATTCCAAATGCTGTTCAGATTATTTAGGAAATGATTTACTGTGAGACAGTATGCTATCTAAGTAGCATCATCAATAAGACATCCTCAGAGTAAATCTTGCATTTTTAGATGTACATGTGATATAAGCACCATTAAATTACTTGTTAAAGCAAACTTAGATAGCTTGTTCAAGTAGCACTAAAAGATTACTTGAGCTAATTCATTCATGATAGTACTATCATTACTTTATTCAAATGGAGCTCCAATGGGCAAAAATAAAGCTTTGTACAGCATACACAGAGGTGCCAACTTGTACTGTCCATGAAGTACATTCTGAACCAAGTCACCAACACGCTTCAGCAAGCGCCAATACTGCAAGAGTTCAAACCCATAAGCCATCACATTATACAGCACAATCCAATTCAACTCCCCCCGTTGACCTCATGGCCCGTGATAGGCCCATTCCCAAGTCAGCGTGCAAAGAGCTGCCGTCTGCCTCACGAAGAAGCACAGGAGAGATTTGGCGTAAAATTAAACAACCGCCTAAAAGTTAGTTTGGCCTATTTGCAGTCCACCCTCTTCCTCCAGGCGGCTTGGGAAAGGGACTATCATCGTGGACAGCCTCCTCTCTATGTAAAACTCGCCCTGTTGTTTATTCGCTATTCAGTTTTTTAAGCAGAGGTGACTGGCTCCTCTATTTCTCACGATCACGACCTTAAGGGGCCACAACCTCGGAAGCCGTCATGCCACCCTCCCCTTCGGAGAAAAGAGTGAACCTACTGAAAAACCAGAAGTCCAGAGGAGCAGCTTTTCGTAACGCCCTTGCTCTGCACTCTCCTTTCACCATCTGCACTGCCAGACCCGCGCGATTCAACGTCCCGCCCGACTGAATGAGAGGGGGTGGAGAAACACTCCAAAGGTCGTCGCTTCCCGTTTTTTCCCCTCTCGCGAGAAGCGCCACCACCGCAACGACGGTTTTAAAGGCGAGGGATGAGACGGAGGTCCCCACCTGCACCAGTTGCTCGGCTGTCACGTGACCAGAATTGCCCCCCTTCTCGCTTTGATCTTCCCTTTTATTGTGTTCACTGTTGGCCACGTGGTAGTCTGCTCATGCATCCTCTAGGAAGAAAGCAGGATTAAGGGCTCAGATGTTTCCTCGCCCTCTCTTTCTCGTCAGAGGAAGTACGTAGGTGCGGCTCTCGCGGGTGTGGGAAGTTCGAGCTCGGAGGCTTAGAAGCTGGCCATGGCTGCTGCTGTTGTGGAGTCCGCAACTGAGGAGTGGGAGCAGCCTCTTTTGGACGGAGACGAAAGGTGCACGGGGGCGACTGCGCCTTAGGTCTTATTTGCTAGGGGCGCCCCTTTCGGCCTTAAGGAGCGGGGGATCCTCCTGTACTCCAGAAGTGATTGACCTGAAATTCCCAGTAGCCCAACTCAGGTTGTCTCACGATGAAGATTCTGGAAGTTGTAGTTTAAACACAACTGCAGTCGTAAGCTGCCCCCCTTGGCCTGTAGGAGAAGAATAAGAAGGAGAGGCCTAATCGCTGGTAGTGGAACCTAGCTTTCAAGCTGAGGTTAAAATACGTGTTACGAAATAGCTAAATGAACAGAGTATAAGATACCAATACCGCTGACGGTGATATCCTATCTGTTTTAAAATCTATTATATACATACATACATACATATATCTGTGTTAAAAATCTTAACAGATTTTTGACCTATTGTCAGTTGCATGGTTAATAAGACATTTATGTATGAAGGCCATGATAAGCTATTTTTGTGTATTTTTAAATGGGGTGTGTGTACTTTAATCAAAACAGATATTTTAATGGTTTTTTTAATGTTTTTCAGGTCTCTTGGGTTCTTAGAGTACTGTATGATAATGTTGAATAGTGTTTTATAGTGTTTATTGCATAAGGTTTGATTTTATTGAATTGCACATTTTTTATTTTTGTGTCCCTAGAGGGATAACTCGGTTAATCTTTTGGAGAAAGAATTGCATGGCATCTTAGACATGTTTATTATCAAACAAGCATTTGTGGCTCATGGTCACCTTCTTCAGATATGTGGAGCATTTTCCTGAAAAAGACAATAAGAACTTAGATATTGGGAAAGGAGAGAAAAGGTGAAAGAAACTCTGAGAGACAATTTCTTAGGACCAAAAATGGAACAGCATTTAAGCGTGATGTGGATATTACTGAACTGTATAGCTTGCTAGCTAGCTTGTCCATAAGAAAAGGTTTCAGTCTCCTGATGAGTTCTACTTCATAGGCTCTAAAATGGAATTGGTCTTAAGAATGGCCACCATGAGGTCAATAACAGGAATTTCTGGGAATGCTCTCCCATTAGTTTTTGGAGATTTCCATTTGAGTCATAGTGACTTATATCATCTAAAGGTTGGAAGGTCACATGGTGGTCATTTGGTCCAACCCTCTTATGACCCTTATCATTCTTAAAGCACAGTACTGTACCCCAAACTAGGCACAGTATTGTAGATGCTGTCTGCCCAATGCAAAATAGAGAGGAATTATGATTCTTGATCTTGCGACTATACTTTTGTGTATGCAGCCTAGGATTGCATTTATTTGTTTATCTTTAATTAGTTTATATAGCCACCCAACTTACAAACTCTGACTGGGTCATCCCCTTGCTTCATACAGGGGACCCATGCATGCCTGTGTTTCTTGTCCTGGCCTATCTCGTCAGTGTTAAAAGCCTCTCCCATGTTTCTCTCTGTTCCCTCACTACCATGAAGTTACTGCCCTCCCTCTCTCCTCAACACACCAGAACCTCAACTTCTGCATCCTTTTTCCAGGTCAAAGGATCCCATCTCACCTCCAGATAACTCAACCAGTTCTCTGGGATGCATCTTCCTAGCACTCAGTGCCCCTAGTTCCAGATATCCTGCTGCTCCCACTCCCCAAATCATACAAACACCATACAAAGCTGACAGCTTACTTTGCTCTCAGTTGGGGTAGCTGGAGGTCTAAATACATCTGGGGAAAGGAACTGACATCTACATCCAAGCCAACCTTGGCCTCTCAGCATTTACTGCATCATCTTTAGATCCTTTGTGCATAAACTACTGTCCAATACATCGGATGTACTGATCCCCCACATCCTATGCTCATGACTTTGATCTTTTCTACCCAAATTTAGGACTTAGTGTTTGTCCATGTTGAAATTCATTTGTAACATTCACGCAGTTACAGCGGGCCTCTCACGAGTGAGGGGAAAGAAGACACCAAACTGATTCTCCTTCGAG